TCCTGAGAACAACATATAGTACTGAATAAGTTACGTTGGCTTTGGCACGTGCTACGTATGCCTTGTCACCGCTTACCTAGGAGGGCCTTGTTTAGTCTGAGAGATATAGGGTGGCGCAAGGGTTGTGGTGGAAAAAGGTTGATTTGGCAGTCGCTGACGACCAAACATGGGTGTCATCGGTCCGTCTCGCCTTCAGGGCTGGAGTCCGCGTGACCCGCCTTGGGCTTGGCTCGAGACTTTACAAGACATGGCGTGCAACCAACTCCAGTGGCGCGTCTGTTGCCGTCTCCTAGTCGGACTGTCTGTTTAAAGTGTGTTTGGTGCTGAGTTATCTGCTGAATAATGGCTGATTATGACGCGGGGCAGTGAAGGCCGCAATGAAGCTGTCTTGCTGATGCCGCCTTATCTTTGCACGATACTCAGCTGTTTGTGACGACATGTTGTTAACACAAGGTGTAGGCGCATTGACTATGAATGTTTGCTTAGGGCATTAAGATTTTCAGGTAAGTCCCCCTTCTCTCCTTCCTCTTATTCTTTATTTCATAGGTCATCATGGTTGTACGGCAGCGAAGCATCAGTTCAAATGGCTGATGTACTGCTGCTGTTGATTTATTGATTGATTTGCTTTAGGTCCGGCACTACAATCAAGTTGTAACGGTGCCCGCGGTTGCTGCTTGATGCACGCGTGCGCAGTAGAAACCTCAGTATGGGGAGGTAACCTAGATGTAAGTTCCCGTGGATCACTCGAAACCGAAGATACGACAGAGTGCACAGCCGCAGTCTTCTGTATCGGTCTTCGCACGACATACCCAGTAAACTGAGAATGAGCTTAGTGGCCACATGCTGAACACGTTCCAGTCTCTGCCCCTCGCTACGAGTAAGCGGACAATAGGTGGGTAAACACTACTCTAGCATCGGTCTTATGATGGAAGGAAAGAAAGGAGTGGCAATCTCTTCAGACCAAGTGTAGAAGTTGTGTTCGAGTGCACAAAGCGTTTCCATATAGCCTGTTCGTGTTGTCCGCGGATTTCAAGTCGCAGAGTGATAGTACACTTAAGTCTTACAGTGAAGCTCTAGGGTGCTGCGGTTGACCGGCTACTATACGATCGTACGAATGTTTGTATGCGTGGCATGACCCTTCTATAGGTAACGATGTGACTAGGTTGACCGGCAGATCGGTATCTGCAGACCAGATGTACAGGTGGTCGAAATCATGCTGAAGTACGTCGCAGTCGTCGGGAGCATCAGTAACTCTAAATCTTCAGGTCGCCGGCAAAAAGCACACAGCAAACCAAGAAGCTGAAATTCTTCGTTGGTGAAGATCAGGAACAAAACTAGCCCCAGTACTGTGTCTTGGAGAACGGCAATAGCATAAGAATACCAGTCAGCTGGATGATCATCTACCGGTAGCCTCTGCTTCGCCCATTAAGGGAGCCGCTGATCCACCGGCGTAGTAAGCCATCAACACAGCACATTTGCAGCTGGTGTAGGAGGACCTCAAGGTTCATTTCGTCGAAAACTTCACAGAAATAAAAGTAGATGACTTCGACTGACTTACATCAGTTCAGCGCCTAAAGCCATTCATGCCGCGTCATCAGCAAGTTAGTGATGCATGAGCAGCGTTTCCCGGAACTGTGCTGTGCCGACATCACTTCTTTCGATTTTAGCAGCTACTACAAACCATACTTCACGTTCTTCTCGAACATTTTGGTCTAAATGGAGGTCAGACAAACTGATCGGTAATAATCACCTTGCTTGACTAACCGACCTTCTGAATCGGCTTCACTATCGAGCATGTCCAATCTCTCGGCAATGCGCCTTCGGACAGCGACTTGTTGTACAGAGCAGTCTCGGAAGGTGGAATAATGGGCAATAGAGAATTGAGAATCAGCGGGTGATGGCCGTCAGGTAGAGCAGGTTTTGTGCCGTCAAGATAGGCGAGTAGGCTGTACATCTTCCACACCGCAATCCAGGATGTCGAGCTCGGTTGGGGCTGCAGCTGTCGAACACGGTACTGACGCACGGCCATTTGTAAATACGAAAGCGAAGTGCGCCGCCAAGGTAAACGCACGCTCAGTGCTCGAAGTCAGGGGGTGTCAGTCAGAGCCTTCTAACACTGCTCCGTCAACTACAGGTCTCAGGCGCTGCTTCAGGTAACCAGACATCTTTGGGGACCGTCTTGGCTGCGACCGAAAGGTGCTATTCGGATGCTGACGCTGCAATTCTTTCTTGTTGTTGCAGAAGTTCCGATGTCTTGTACATCTCGTAATCGTCGGCAGTCAGACAAAATTTATTCTATTCTATTCTATTCTATTCTATTCGTCGAGAAAATTGACCATACCTCTTGCCGAAACAATATGACCTCACTGGCCAGGTTTTCCGTTACTTGAGGGGTACGAAACAAGCGCACAACGATTTTACACCTTCTTGTGATAGACTAACAGGCTTTAATAGATGGATCTTGCGGCAGCGCCCAGTCCACTTGACTAGCGGCTCTGTGGACGTGAGTATGGCAGCTGCAGTTCTAGGCTGGCCATGACCACTGAGTGGTTACTCGCTGCCAGTGGCTCAAGAACCTGAATATCATACACAAGCTGTTCGCGGCTGGTCAACATCAGGTCCAGACACGACGGAGCTGAATGAGGCCTTATGCGCATCGGCTGGCAGATGTGCTGCGCTGTCCCAGTCTCAAAAATCATCTCAGCGAACTCTGTCTCAACTTCCTACTATCCGGGGAGAAAATGAACCTCAAGTCAGAGTTAAAAACCCCATGAGTAGGAAGCGCGGACGACTCATGTGGTTTCGGCATGCGGCAATCAGTCCAAACAAGCACTCTGAGGGCTGCGATAAGCTACGCCCACGAACAGTTTACCACATAGGTGAATCGAGTACAAAAGTTGCTCGCATAGGCCATCTTCACCTCGATAGGTGCTTACAAGACTCCCATACAAGAAAGACCGAAGGTATAGCAGAACAACACCATGGCCGTTTGGTATTCTGTTACACGGAGAGAATGAGTAGCCCCTAAGCTGGAGTTCCTTTGCGGTTACCTCAGGATTCAACCAGGTCTCAGCCAGTCCTAGAATGTCGGGCCACCGATAGGAAACGAAGTGGCACAGCTCGTCACGCTTGTTAACTCGACTACAAACATTGGTGAAAGCAATGTGCAGGCCGCGGTAGAAACCACAAGGCGTGCATAAAGTGTTATTGATCTGTAGATCCGGATTAGGAGAATCAAGGGGACAAAGCAAATACTTACTTGGATTACGCTGATATCTTTTTGTTAGGTGACGGTCCGCAGGCCGTCCAACTTGCGCTTAATCGCCTGGCGATTGAAGCGCCGAAGTATGGCATGCACTTTTCACCATCCAAATGCCAACCGCCTCTACCTGCACTCACCATCGATGGGGAAAGGTTAGAAGTAGCACTGAGTTTTGTCTACCTGGGAAGCTGTATAACTACTGGTGGGGCTGTTGAAAACGAGATTTCGATGCGTTTCTCAAGAGATCGTTTCCTTTCTCCAGGCTGAAACATTTATGGTGCCGTCATGACATCCGCCTCTTCATCAAAGGACGGGTTTATAGTGCTACTGCTTGCGCTGTACTCTTGTACGCTTGCGAGACTTGGCCTGCTCGTACCGATGACCTACGTCGACTATCTGTCCTTGAGAACCGTTGTTTGCGGTCCATCGCCTATGTGTGGTGGCTGAATCACGTAACCAACGCGGAAGTCAGACAGCGAGTCTTGGGTGGAGACAGTCACTCCTTCGAGGCGCTTGTCTTGCTGAGCCAACTACGATGGCTGGGACACGTACTGCGTACGCCCGTTCAGCGTCTTCCGCGTCGTGTCTTGTTCGCGGTCGTTGGAAGGGGTTGGAGGAGGCGGTGTGGTGGACAGCCTACAAATTGGAGAAGCAGGATGAAAAAATTGACAAAAGTGCTAGCCACGGTTGGTTAATCCCGACTCCCTAGGTGGGGTCCCAAGGATGTTGAGTGCAGTTGGTTGGAAACGTTGAAAGTCATGGCTCGAAACCGCACTCAGTGGCGGACGTGTATCTCTGCCTGTTGCGCTTATTCTCCCTCCCACCCTCAATAAAAAAACATCAAAAAAGTCAAAAATTGTGAGTGGAAAAATGGACAAAAAATTGTTTGTTTGTTTTCTTTCTTTCTTTACTCTAATACTGTTTTCCTATTCCGCCATAATTCCGATGGCACAATATCTGTACAGGGATCGTGATATATATATATATATATATATATATATATATAAAACCAAAAATTTACAATGCGGTGATCGGTTTCCCCACCATCAATACCTCACTTAGCTCAATGAATGCGGACTTGAATTTATTCCGGTCTAATGGATCTTCAGCTCTCTTATCCTACTGGAGGATAAGATCAACCTCAAACTAGCTTCATGAACGAAAGGTGTGACAGGCCGAGTTTTCTCCTTATTTATCTTTTCAAGATTGATGATATATTTCACCCTCAACCCCTCTTCATCTACGTCGGGAAGTCCTATCGATCAGACTCTGCAAAAATTGGACGTCGTGGTCACAGCGTACCTGAGGATTTGCATACGTTGACTCAGGCGCATGAAATATCATGAGGTAAAAACAGTTCTGGCTACTAGCAGTTGCTCACATTTTCTTCCTTCTTTACGTCTTTCACTGGTCTTCAACACATACCGGGACGTTGGCACTCTGTGTGGGGCGGTCGGTGGTGAAGAATAGATGTTTCAAGCAAAAGTAAACAATTTTTATATACCCAACAACTACCACGAACCACTTAAAGGTAGGATTTCACAGGACGGATAAGTCTCAGGTGGGTGTCAAAGGAGATTAGAAACATGATCCAGCTACGGAACAGTACAGAAAGAGTATAATGTCGAAGAGTTAATCGCACTACAACCAAATTCGACATAAACAGCAGGGTCTAATGATGGTTGACTGTGAAGATGGAGAAACGGAATGGGGTGAACAGTGTTGTCAACACACTAACCTCGACAATCTTGCCACTGTCCATCACCAGAATGTTGTCTGCTTCACGAACAGTGCTCAGACGATGAGCGATCACGAGCACTGTGCGCCCTGAGATAAAAGAGAAGAATGAGAACAGTAGTGGAGTAGATAGTGGTAAAAAGTTGAACACTATTGCGGGGATAACTGGACATACGTGTGCTCAAAAACAGGCCAGTTGGAGTGCCCATGCATCGGTTAGTGGACGCAAAGACTCTTGACAGTTGGTGCGAGAAGTTCGTAAGAAACAGGAAGGAGACAATACATTATGCTGCCTACCATGAAGGAAAAAAACCGAACGCGATTTCGGTAAACCACGTTGTCATGATATAGCCAGTTCAATGAGTCCAAGTGGGACATAATAAGGCACTGACTTGCGAGTGTAGATACCGGATGAAATATCGATGTAAATCTGATTCACAAACAAGACGGAGTTTCACGACCTGACGAAGTGCCTACTGTGACACAGTGTCTAGAGAACTCGCGGTCACTTGCCCCATGAAATCGACACTCAGTAAAGCAGTAACGGGTTCCACCGATAAGCAGTGTCCGAAAACAACGGATGCTGCGTCGTGATGACTCAATGAGATAACGGTGAGTGCACACAGGGTGCGTGCATCTGGGCCAGGATTGGAACTGCAACCAATAAGTCACACACAAAGTTCCCCGGTAGACTGATGAGTTTCATACAGAGGAGATAATGCCTGTATACAGCGTCCCAGAATAGCTAGCAACTTTAAGCATTCTGATGTCCCGGATGGAAGCAAACCTCGAGAGAATATCAAGATAAAGTGCAAAACCTAGGAGACTACCAGGGTCAACCAAGTTTGCGAAATCCGTTGATATGGAAGCCACTGAATAGTAAGTGGAACGATTGGGAATGCAATGGCTCGACAGCGCATATGGACTCAGAAAAGGTTGACTCGAACCAAGTGGGTTGCGGTAAGCAAATATGCTCCTAACAGCGATGGAAGCGACAAGGAAGCAGGGATAAAATAAATGGAGAAGCAATGTGCTAGAAAACCTGAACACATTCACGAAGGAAAATACAGCATAAGGTGGACTTGAGAGGAGGCATAGTTAGGAGCAAAAAGGACATAGAAACGAAAGGCCGAATACAATGGCCACACAGACTTATTAGCTGAATCATATTGGATAAAGTATCCAACAAGAGATGTGAATGAATCTGGGTCGGCTGTCCACAAAAGCCAGGTTCATTGATCAGATGCAACACCTGTTCAGCAGATCATCTGTTGACCACGGTCTATACTATATCTCAGTCAATTGCAATTAGAACGAAATCACATTCCTTCTCAAGGAAATCATTTTTGGCTACAGATCACTCAAAATAGTTCTAACCGCAAGCAAATTGCATGCGATTGGTGCGCAAGCCTCTAAATGCGTATTGTTCGTTGAGTGGCCAATTCCAAAGCAGCCGATAGCATATAAGGCGAGCGTACGACATGGAGTGCCAGATGGCTTTTGAATAAAGTCATCTGCGGTATTGTGGGGTGCGGTGCAGATCGACCGCGATGTGGAATATGCCCAGTCCAGTTGGGGCACTCAGAGTCAGCAACGAGTGGCTACACGCAAATTAGGAGGTATGCATGTCAAAATCACGTAGTGTGACCCGTGCCTAGCAGTGCCTACGTGTAACGGTGGTTTGGTGATAGTCGGGGTTGCTGTAAATAACTTTGTAAACAGTGACCCGTTCCTGTGAGATGTGCAAATTGTGCCGTGTTCCCGTGTGCGCTGTCACTGGACTACATGTGGTGTAGCTCTCTACCTACTACTTGGCTCCCACATTGCTGTGGACCGAGTGACCCAGGAGAATGACATGACTGTTGCTCACGCATTGTTGTGGTGGTCCGACTGGAATAGAATTCGGGTTCATGTTGTCGGGGTGCAGTGTCAGCGTTTGAACCGTGGCACGCTTTGGGGTGTTGCATACTCATTGAGCGCAATGTTGAGAGGTCTGAGCTTGATGGGTGTGCTGATTCGACTCAGGTTGTGAGTGCGCGCGTGCTGCATATTGGCAACCTTTCCCTGGCCGGGTGACGTGTTCGCTTCTGATTTGTATGAAGATGTACCAGGTTGCACTTGTCTATTGCTTTTATTGGGCCCTTGTTCGGCTGAGGTGGTTTCTGGGGGGTTATCATATGGTCGCCTCCTGGTTGCCGGTGCGTTCGCTGAGATCTACTCGTGTTTCTGGTCTCCGTACCTACCACTTTGGCCATGCGGTGCAGGCAGGTCTGTGGCTGCATATCACGGTCCAACGACCATTTGTATACGCAAGACTGCATATGCCGTTACTGGTCGCCAAGACATTGGAACACGCAGGCAGGAGTTTGGCACACCTGGTAACAAACTTTTTCCGACCCTCACCAAGATGCTGTACTGTGTTAAATAGTGTCAGTATCTGTGGACAATGAGTGGAATAGCGAGAAAAGCTTGCGTTAGTGGTTGAAAGTCTCCGCTGCCCTCAACTCAGCGAAAGGTTCTACTTCTGTTTGGCTAGACACCGTGCATTTGGAAGCGATGCTCCATAATTAGAGTAAAACAAAACTTTGTTAAGTTTTACTTGACCTAATCTGATCGCTATCGCAATCGCAATCGGTAAGTTCAGTGCACTGACCAGGATGGGAAACACCTTAGCCCAGTCGGTGAAGGAATGTCCGGCAGTGTAAGAGCCGAATCAATCGTGGCAATACAGTAAAGCTACGTGCGATCGCATGGACCGCTTAAAAGTGGAGGGCCAGCATGCATGTCTCAGTAGAGTACACCAAGAGCACTGCACAACCACATCAGCTGTGCAATTTTGTTAGTTCAGCAAAATCACAAGTAAAGTAATTCGTCGCAGGTGGATGTACAGACTTGTTTCACCCAAACCGCTTCACGCCGAGTGCACTTAGTTGGCCAATACAGTATTCAATGAAAGAACGCCTCAGTTTTCGCCCACGATAGTTGTGTCGGCATGTTCCATGTTTCCGCGGCATCTAGGAACTCAATTCCTTAGCTAACGACCTGTTAACAGGTGATCCACCAGCGACTGCATCAATGCCTAGGCTACCAATCCAGAGATTGGCGATCCCATTGGTGTGCCTCCTCTCTGATTGTACATTTAGCCGTCAAAGATGAAAGGTGTTGGTAGACAGAATTTCGGCAACTTCATCATTTGCCTGGTGTTGATTTAATTGTTTGCATCGGAGGAGGAGCTGGAATGGCTGGCACTCCCAACGGAGACTAGTAAACTGCGTAGACGACGCCTTCATCATCCTCCTAAGTTCCAAGTTAGGGGACACAATCGAACTAATCAACAACACATTTCATAGCATTTAATTCATCAAGGAAGAGGAGAACAACGGACAGTTTCCATGCTTAGATGTTCTCACACGACAGACTGCTGCTGGACCACTAAAAATCACAGTTTATCGAAAGCAACACACATGGATCAGATCCTAGACTACAGCAGCAATCATCTGACATCCCACAAGCGCAACTGCGTGAGCACTTTATTCGAACAAGCACGAACACACCGTAGCACAACGCAAGCCGCAGAGGGCCATTTCTTCTGTCTACTTAAGCGGGACTCGTATCCAAAGGCTTCATTCTGCACTGCAAGATAAAACAATACACCCCAACAAATAAACAATCGAAAAGAGCAACCTGCAAAGTATCAACGGAATATCTGAAATGGCAGCGACTTGGAGTACCGCTTAAGGTCAAGGTTGCCCATTAATCAATGGAAACACTTGGAATTAAACTCTTTAAGATCAATGATAAATATAGTAGGGGAAAAATTTAAAGTGATATACCAGATTTGCTGCCGAAACAGCAACAACTATTGCGTAGCACAAAGGAGAAAAAAGCTTGGCACAAGGCTACATGAGCAGAGCTTAGCCATTCGTCGCCACAAACAGAACTCCTTGGTGTCAGCGCAAATGGAAGTTGAAAACTACGAATTCGACCACGAGCACGTCAAAACCCAGAGTAAAAAACCTGTCTGGTGCGTGAGTTATTTGAAACCTAGCATCCAATGAAGAATTCGGTCAATAGGCACTTTGATCTAAGAGTAGATTACGAAGCTCTTTAAAGTAGATTATTGAAGTCGCACTGATGAGGTCGACTAGTCAGACAACGCAAGTTTGCAAATAGATGAACTTTAATGGTAGCAACCTCTTGGGTTTGTTATACCGTTGATGCAAACTTTCCATTTGAGTGATTGTGATACGATCTAATTTGTCGGTGCGTAAACTCCGACCTGGCTGCGAAATGCTAGAAAGCAACACTGTCAAATTGCAGCCCATTGTCGGAAATCAGATTTTCTGGCATCCCGTGCCCAGTAAACTGGCACCTGCGTTTGATTACCACAGTTTATGTGATGATGGTGGTGCTAAGTAGATCAATTTCAAAACAAACACTTTAGTAACCAACTGCGGCTTAGTAAGCGTTCCGTTTTCACAGGATAGATGCTCTATCATTGTCCGCATTTGTCGGTCTGGCACATTATTATGTAGCATCATCGGTTCATTTGTCTGGGAACAACAGTGTCTCCCCTTCCAAGCAAGCCGAGTGGTCCAACAGTAGAGCATCATCATGATCATCAGCATGATCATCATCATGATCATGATCATCCTCATCATCATCAACAACAACAACAACAGCGCTATATCAGCCAAAAGTAGATCAACATTCAGCTAAAGCACTACTCAGATGTTTCCCGTGGATATATCTCGGAGCTATCGGAACAGTATTCGGTTTCCTCCAATGGTACCGGCTCTAGCTATTCCGTTGACCGCTTCAAGCAAGCAACGCCCCGATCGATCTAAGAAAACAACAAAAGCAGCAGTGCATCAGTAATTTAAACTGCTACTTCGCTGCCGTACACCTATAATGACCTAAGGAGTGAATAAAAGTAAGAGGGGAGAAATTGGGAACCAATATGGAGCAGAAATGATCTGAGTAAATAGTCAGTTAGGATGCCTACACCTTGTTAACAATACGTTCACAAACGCACCACTGGTGCTGACTGCGAACCATATCCTGCAACGTCTCGAGCCGAGCACAAGGCA